CTTCTTATTTTTTAAGTGTGGCTACTAGAAAATGTAAACTTAAACATGGGAGTGGAAGCTGACTTCCCTAATGACCCTAAGCCAGAGCCAAGATGCAGACCCAGGTCGAACGTCTCCACGGCCTCGCTCTTCACTCTGATGCTGAAACCAAACTATGCTGACGCTCAAATCGTCCCTACACACATGGGGGCCAAAAAAGTGTTACCTGGGGTGTGGTTCCTGGGGACAGGAAATATGATCCCGTCTTTCTCCAAGCGGGTGCAAGTGTGTGTGTGTGTGTGTTTATGGAGAAAAAAACTAGAGGTTAGGACACAGACACAACATCTGAGGCCTTCCGCCATGCAAATGGCAGAAGTGGAACTTGAACCCAGGTCTGTCTGCCCCCAAAGTCTGGCCTCTTCCCCACGGCATCTCCCAGGGCTCTGGTACTCCACAGTCTAGAAAGAGGCTGGGCCCATGTTGTTGGAAATGAAGCTGAAACCCAGATCCCATGGAAATGGAATGATGTCGGGTAAAGAGAAAGGCAGGAAGGCCTTCCTGCAGCTGGAAGGGCTCTAGGTGATCACATGGCCCCAAACCCAGTTTCACAGATGGGGACACTGGGCCTCAGAAGGCTGTGCACCTCCCTCTTGGTCACACAGCTAAGGGCTGAACTAGGACATCTGAGTCAGAGTCTAACTTACTCTCTGGTCAGTACGTCATGGGATTTTAATCTGGTTTTTGGAGCCCTGCCTTTCATTCCGGTTGCAGTAACGGCCTTCAGCTGTGCACATCTGACGCGTTTCTTCACGCCTCAGACAGCCTCTGCCTGTCCTGTGTCCTCTGTCCTTCCTGACCTCTTTCCACACAGGGTTCAGGCCCTGTGAATGTTTGTACACTCGCTGGCTGGAAATCTTTGTTGGACCCCAGAACTTGAGTACCTGGTTTCCATGCCCATTTTCTGGCTTCTGTACCCATTTTCCTAGTGTTAATGCCGAATGCCCAGCTCTAAGGAACTGGGATCTTTAGATTTGGGTCTGTACATCAAGCCTCTAAAACTGTTTACTTGCTTGCAGGAATCAGCAAGGGGCTGTATTTTATTAATCCAATTAGTCCGATTAACTCCTGATTCCAGAGAGCCTCCCATGTTAGCTATAGGTTTTTCATATATGGTCTTTGTTATGTTGAGGTATGTTCCCTCTAAACCTACTTTGTTGAGGGTTTTTGTTTTTTTTTTAATCATGAGTGAATGTTGTACTTGGCCAAATGCTTTTTCTGCATCTATCAAAATGATCATATGGTTCTTATCCTTTCTCTTATTGATGTGATGTATCACATTGATAAGGGAATACTAAACCACCCTTGCATCCCAGAAATAAACTCCACTTAATTGTGGTGAATGATTTTTTTTTTTTAATGTTGAATTCAGTTTGCTAGCATTTTCTTGAGTATTTTTGCAACGACTTCCGTCAGGGATATTGGCTGTGGTCTTTTTTTTTTTTTCTTTTCTTTCTTTTCTTTTTTTTTTTTTTTCTTTTCTTTTCTTTTTTTCTTTCTTTTCTTTTCTTTTTTGTTTTTGTTTTTGGTGTCTTTATCTAGTTTCAGTATTGGGGTAATGTTGGCCTCATAGAATAGATTTGGAAGTTTTCCTCCCTTTTCTATTTTTTGGAATAGTTTGGGAAGAATACATATTAACTCTTCTTTAAATGTTAGAATGTGCCTGTGAGGCCATCTGGTCCTGGACTTGTGTTTGTTGAGAATTTTTTGTTTACTGATTCAATTTCTTTGTTAGTAATTTGTCTATTTTCTATTTCTTCTGATGTCAGTTTTGGTAGTTTATGCGTTTCTAGGAATTTATCCATTTCTTCCAGGTTGTCCAATATGTTGGCATACAGTTTTTCATAATATTCTCTTATAATTGTTTGTATTTCTATGGTGTTTGTTGTTATTTTCTCACTCTCATTTGTGGCTTTATTTTTTAGGTCCCTTCTTTTTTCTTTTTGATAAGCCTGGTTAGGGGTTTATCAATTTTATTAATTTTTTCAAAGAACCAGTTTCTGGTTCCATTGATCAGTTCTATTGTTTTATTAGTTTCTATATCACAAATTTCTGCTCTAATCTCTATTATTTCCTTCCTTCTGCTGGGCTTAGGTTCCATTTGTTGTTCTTTTTTAACTCTTTTAGGTGTAAGGTTAGGTTGTTTAGGTTGTTTATTTGATATTTTTCTTGCTTCTTGAGGTAGGCCTGTATTCCTATGAACTTTCCTCTTAGGACCACTTTTGCTGCATCCCAGAGGTTTTGGACCATTGTGTTTTCATTTTTATTTGTTTCCATGTAACTTTATACTTCTTCTTTGATTTCTTGGATGACCTGTTCATTTTTTAGTAGCATGCTGTTGAACCTCTATGTATTTGTGGTCTTTTCAGATTTTTTCTTGATTTCTAGTTTCATAGCTTTGTGGTCAGAAAATATGCATGGTATGATTTCGATCTTCTTGAATTCATTGGGGTTTGTTTTGTGCACTAATGATCTATTCTGGAGAACATCCCATGTGCACTTTAAAAGAATGTGTATTGTGCTGTTTTAGGCTAGAATATTCTGAATATATCCATCTGATCCAGTGTGTCATTCAAAATGATTGTTTCTTTGTTGATTTTTCTGTTTAGATGATATGTCCATTGATGTAAGTAGGGTGTTAGGGTCCTCTACTATTATTGAACTATTATTGGTTAGTTCCTTTCTGTTTGTTATTAACTGTTTTACAATTTGGGGTGTTCCTATGTTGGATGCATAAATATTTACAGTTGTGTCTTCTTGTTGGATTGTCCCCTTTATTATTATATAGTGTTCTTTTTTGTCTCTTGTTAGTCTTTGTTTTAAAGTCTATTTTGTCTGATGTAAGTATTCTCCAGCTTTCTTTCCACAGACATCTATTTGCATAATGAATGTTTCTCCATCCCTTCAACCTGCACATGTCTTTAGGTCTAAAATGAGTCTCTTTCAGGCAGCATATAGATGGGTCTTGTTTTTTTTATCCACTCTGTCACCCCATTTCTTTTTTTTTTTTTTAAGATTTTATCTATTTATTTGACAGACAGAGACCACAAGTAAGCAGGGAGGCAGGCAGAGAGAGAGAGGAGGAAGCAGGCTCCCCACTGAGCAGAGAGCCCCATGCGGGGCTCCATCCCAGGACTCCAGGATCATGACCCGAACCGAAGGCAGAGGCCCTAACCCACTGAGCCACCCAGGCGCCCCACCCCATTTCTTTTGATTGGAGTGTTTAGTACATTTACATTCAAAATTATTGATAGGGACGCCTGGGTGGTTTAGTCAGTTAAGCTTCTGCCTTCAGCTCTGGTCATGATCCCAGGGTTCTGAGATCAAGTCCTGCATTGGGCTCCCTGCTCAGCAGAGAGTCTGCTTCTCCCTCTGCCTGCTGGTTCCCCTGCTCTCTCTCTCTCTGACAAATAAATAAAGTCTTTTAAGAAAACCAAAAAACAAAATTATTATTGATAGATATATATTCATTGCCATTTTATTACTTGTTTTCTGGTTGTTTCTGAAGATTTTCTCTAATTCTTTCTTGTCTTTCTCGCATGTCTTGCTGATTTTCTTTAGTGATATATTTGGATTTCATTCTCTTTATTCTTTGCATGTTTATTAGTGGTTTTAGATATACAGTTACCATTAGGTTATATATAACCTCTTCTTCAAATAGCAGTGTATATTAAGTTGATGGTTGTTCATGTTTGAACCCCTTCTTTTCTCCTCTCCTCCCCTCCCCACATTTTAGGTATATGTTATTATAGTTCATATCCTTTTTTTCACCCAAAGGTTTTATTTATTTGAGAGAGATAGACAGCATCAGCAGGGGGGAGGGTTAGAGGGAGAGGGAGAAGCAGACTCCCTACTGAGCAGGGAGCCTGACACCCGGCTCAGTGCCAGGACCCCAGGATCATGACCTGTGTCAGAGGTAGACACTTAACTGACTGAGCCACTCAGGTACCCCTATATTTTATATTCTTTTTCTCATGTGAGTTTCTTGACTGATATTTTTTTTTACAGAAATACTCTTTTCTACTACTTTTGTGTTTGCTACCTTCATGCTGTCATTTTTGGTCTCTCCTTCACATTCAAAGAGTCCCCTTTAATATTTCTTGCAGGGCTGGTTCAATGGGCATGAACTCCTTCAGTGTTTGAGAAGCTCTTTATCTCTCCTTCTATTCTGAATGATTAGTTATCTCTTCTTAAGCATAGTGTTTAACGAGTTTGCTTCCATACAGTCCACAGAAAGAGAAGTAGACTTGGAGTATGATGTAAGAACTATTGATGAATCATTCACTTCTTTTTTCTTTAAATGAAGTCTTTGTTCTAAAAAATTCAAATAAGGCCAAGTAGACCACTTTCTAGCCACGTCCCAAAGTGCATTAAGGATGTCGCAGTTACTTTCTGTAGGGGATGTGAGGTTAGAGCCCTTTTCCTGATCTAATAAGAGGTAAACATGGAAGTCAGGCAGGAAATTTGAACTCACTGAACACCACTGGGACCGAACCCCAGGTTCCACGCCTGGGATAACTATTAGTGTGGCCCAGGACATCGGCTGGAGGGCAGGTGCCAGGAGAGAAGGAGAAAGGTGACAGCCCACATATTCTGATTCAGGTAGAGCCCTGGACACAAACCAGAATCCAGTCATGACCTCTTAGGAGCCTTGACCTGAGTGTTCATTATGGTTTCTTCGGAAAAGGTTAGGAAACAAATTTGTTTACATGACACTGTGAATATGAGATTGCTGCAGGGCCCAAGGTTAGAAACATTGGCAAATCCCATCCAAAGTACTGACTCAGGGAAATCCACATTTAGAGTTCAAGGAGATAAATGGGACATTGGGTCTCAAAACCTGGTTATAGGTTCAGATTGCAATTACAAAACCATGCAAATTAGCTTTATAGAGAGAGCGCTGCGAGCAGCCCAATCCCTGTAACTCTATAACCTGACTTACCCTGGACCTTGTTCCCTACAGAATGGGTCTGCTCCTACCCTTGTTGCTCTGCACATTGGCTGCATGCTGCAGGGCTAGATCTGTACCCGGGAAACCACCCCCCTTAGGTGTGCTCTCCCGTGGCTGCAATGACTCAGATGTTCTGACAGTCGCAGGCTTTGCCCTTCAGGACATCAACAGGGACCGAAAAGATGGCTACGTGCTGAGCCTCAACCGAGTGAGCGATGTCCGTGAACACAGACAGGCAAGTGATGGTCCCCTATCATGAGCAGGTGCTTACACAAGCTGAGGAGGCCAACCGGGGGGTTGGGACCCCAGAGACACGTGTTGGAAGATGCTTTCCAAATTGGAAATCCTGCTAAGAACGTTCCTCTCTTCTCTGCCAGGGTGTGCTACATGCTCTTGTTCTTGGGCTAATAGTTATCCTACTCTGAAGCTTGTCTAGTGTCCCACAGGTTACCCATGATCTTCACAAACATCAAAGACTTTGGCTCTGCCATAAAACAGAGACTTTTTGGCCAGTCTTTAGGGGTTTCTGCTTCATGTGGGATGCAGTGCATTTCTCAACCCCCTCTTACAGGACCCAGGATCTGTGTTCTATCTCACACTGGACGTATTAGAAACGGACTGCCATGTACTCACCAGGAAGGTGTGGAAGGACTGTGGTGTAAGGTACATTCATAGATCGGTAAGTGCTTGTGTCCAGGCATGCTGCAGAAGCTAGGTGTTCTCTGACCTGGGTGAAGATTGCTCAATGTGTCCATCTCTTGAATGTCCTTCATTATCAACTCTAGGGCAGAGCACCCATGTGGTTATTCCAATGCTGTAGATCAAACAGCTTAAAGGAGTTTCTGAGCATCCCACTGGGAGTCATGACCCCAGAATTGAAAAGTTGCCCCCAAATGGTTTCCTACCTTCAAGAACTTCCTATAGATTTCGAGCTAGTGTTTGGATTGTGAGAATAAAGATTTGAGAGGTAATGCTTTGGATACATGTCTAAGGAAGACTATAGAAGTATTGGAGAGAGAGTTTCTTTCCTGGTTTTATTTTGCTTTGTTTTGGTGAACACTAATATGAAATGTGAGGCTGGGGAGAGGGAAGGATTACAGTATGGGAGCTGCCAGAGGTGCTATGGAAGGATTTCCTGAAATCATAGAACCTAAAAGGCCTCAGAAGTCAACCTTTTAAAGGGGACTCATGAAGAAGCTTGAAAATAACATAGCTTTCTTGTGATTCTCAGTTATCCTAAGGTTATGTCCATTAATTGACATGAAACTTTATATCTGGAGTGCAGAACTGTGTTTAGAAGTAAACTATTTACTCAAGATTTCTAATCATTTAACCAAATCTGTCAAATTACACCTATCTGAAGTGGAGATGCACTGTGGGGGGTTAGGGGCGTAGGAGAAGAATAAATGAAACAAGATGGGATCGGGAGGGAGACAAACCATAAGTGACTTAATCTCACAAAACAAAGTGAAGGTTGCTGAGGGGAGGGGTGTCGGGAGATGGGGGTGGGGTTATGGACATTGGGGAGGGTGTGTGCTATGGTGAGTGCTATGAAGTGTGTAAACCTGGCAATTCACAGACCTGTACCCCTGGGGATAAAAATACATTATATGTTTATAAAAAAAAAATAAAAAAATAAAGATGAAAAAGAAAATTACACCTATCTGGTTTTAAAGAGCAAAAAGTGTTCTTACCCTGTTGTGAATTATATTTAAGGTGGCACTATGTGCTCGCTTCGGCAGCACATATATATTTAAGGTGGCACTAGCGGCTCTAATATATACCCTAAAAATTGTATACTGATTCCAATATGATAGAAGTTTATTTCTCACTCATGTAAAGGTCAAAATAGAAATTCCTGATCAAGAGGGAGCTTTCTTTCAGAGGTGCCTTGGAGCCCCATGTTCCCTCCACATTGTGGATCTAGACTGCCACCTTCAACTGGTGGTTTCTATGACTGCCAAGCTTCTCTGCATCAGACTATAGAAAAAGAAAGAGTATGGTGGATAAATCACATGGGAAAAAACTTCATGGGACACCTGGAAATGGTTACAGTCACTTCTGCTCACCTTCCTGTGGCTGCAGCTCAATTATACATAGTCACAGTTACTCTGGAAGGAAGCTGGGAAATATAGACCAGCTGTGTCTCAGAAGAAGGTTGAATGATTTGTTGATTGGCTGGTAGTTTCTCACACCCCAAACTCCCAAAATTGACCTTAGTTTTTCATTATTTAAAAAGAAAATGTCCAGTGGAACTGGGGTGACACAGTCCATTAAGCGTCCAACTCTTGGTTTCGGCTCAGGTTGGTGGTCTCAGGGTCCTGAGATCCAGCCCCATGTTAGGCTCTGTGTTCAGTGTGGAGTCTGCTTGAAATTCTCTCTCCCTCTCCTTCTGCCTCTCTCAAACAAACAAATCTTCCAAAATAAAATGTCCAATCTAATTTTGGATTTTTTAAAAGTTGGGGTTTGTTCCACCATCTCATAACATGTGTGTGTTTGTTCCAGGTTTATGGTCAGTGCAAAGCAATATATTATGTTAACAGGCCAGAAAGGATTCTCTACTTAGCTGCTTATAACTGTACTCTTCGCCCAGGTAAGAGAGCACTCTGATTTTACTCATTTTAATAAAATATGGAAAAGAGCATTAAATAGAGCTATGCCTAGAGAACACAGGGTTCTCCCATTCTTACTTCCTATTCATACAAAGGCCACATTCTTATATCCAGTTTTTGCCTCTCCTGTGAAGTTCATCTTGTACCACTCCTTTTCCCACAAAGAATCTTCTTAAATACACCGCTTAAATCCTTTATTATAGACAGTTGCATTAAATCCTACATTTTCAGTCTGATGTAAATGGCTTAATCTCTGCTCTGGTCCCCAGGCTCCCTTTCTAGCTCTCCTGACGTTATTTCCTTGACTACACCAACTTTGCACTTCTGAAACTGAATGGATGCTTCACTATTTTCCAAACACACATTGCACTTTCCAGTCTCCGCATGTACTGTTTGCTTCCTCCTCCAATGAGGATGCCCTCACCTGACACCCTCTGCCCTTAGAACTTACATTGTTTGAGGGCCCCTGCCGATGCTGCTTCTTCCACCATGTTCTCGACTCCAGAAAGGAAAGGTGCTCACCTGTTGTCATTCCTATACAATGTTAGCTACCACTCCTCATGGAATGGAGAGTGGGCTGCCTTGACTTGGGTCTCCTATCTTCTTCCATCAAGCCGAGCATGTCTTCCTACTTCCTGCCTGCCAAAGCTCTCCCTCCATTCGTATTAAGTGTAAGGAGTCCATAGTATTGTTGAATGAACTAAGAATGAGGCTGAAACTAATGACATTTCAAATATGCACGTGCATTTGTTCTGGATCCTTCTTTGGAAAAAAAGCATCCAAGTCCTGGGCAAATAGGATGTGGTTACTTGGCAGACTATTGTGTGAATATGACTCCCCTGGTGGATCTTTGTTCAAGTGCAGATTATGATTCTAGAGGTGTGGGGCATGGCCTGAAAGTCTGCATTTCTAATAAGTTCCAGGAGATAACAATGTTGCTGGTTCCTTTGGGAGATAAAGCAACAGATCAAATATTTTATTGGCCATGTTTTAAGCTTCATGGTTGCCAAGAGGAGTTTTATATAAATAAACCAGAGTAGAACCAACAAGGCAGACTGGGATTTAAATGGAAGTCATAGGTGCCAGAGGTATGGGAGGTTAGGAAGTGACCCATGAGGATGATGGTGCCAGGAGTGACAAGCTATGGAAACTGCCTCCCAGGATGCCCAAATACATGCAAATCAGCATGCAATTGATCAAAACAAAGTGTTTGCGCTACAGAAATAACTTCCAGAAAACTACCCTGGCCTGACTTCCATGAGAGTTTTGCCACCTCCAGCTCTTTCCAGTCAGAAACGCTCGCTACACCTTTAGCAGGATTATTCTATCCAGTCACACAGTGATTTGACCGATGTGTGTTTTCTGGCTTGCTTATATTTTCTAACTGGGGAGGGTGTGCTTACCTTCTATGTGTCACTCAACATCACTTGCTAAGCACTTACAATGCATTAGATGTTATGTTAGGTGCTGGGGACTAAAAGGTGAATAAGACAGGACACTCATGAAATCCCAACATTTTAAGACACTCAGTCTGCCTGACAGAGGCAGTGATGGTGGAAGATATCTTCACTGAGCTAACTGGGGGCAAGTTTTTGTATCAATATAACATACATGCATTTCTGAACACAATTCTTCAGGTAAATACCTTTGTGTGAAGCGAAAAAATCTTGCTTTGATTTTTTTTTTTTTTAATTATGAAAGTAGTACACAGTCATTGCAGGAAACTCTCTGCCGACTGCTTTCTTTCTAGACCATGCCTTTTCCACTCCCTCCTTGCTGAAATGATTTCTTTTCTTTTTTTTTTTTTTTAATCTCTGCCTCTGTTGTAGCCATGATTTATGGGATTAAAAATCATTAAGGAGTTTCATTTTAAAACTTCTCTCTTTGGCATCAACAGTTTCTCGAAGAAGAATTCACACAATGTGCCCTGACTGCCCCTTCCCCACCAACTTGTCAGATCCTGAGTATCTGGAAGCTGCCCTTGAGTCTCTTGCAAAATACAACAGTGAGAGCCCCTCAAAGCAGTATTCTCTTGTCCAAGTCACCCAGGCTTCTAGACAGGTGAGGTTGAAGTGCCATTACACCAACAATGTCTCTCCTAACTGTTACTCTCAGTTCCTAAGCTGAGGTGAATATCAAGGCACTCCTTTTAATTTGACGTGAAAAGCCTTTTCTTTATTCTCTCCTTGGGTGGACCTGATGTACATTCAGTCATGTTTCTGTGTCTGAGTTATGCCATGGGATTTCCACCAGAGTTGTGGGACTCTGTTTTACTGCATTGACCTTAAGGTGAGAAGGGAAATAGACTCATGGTCTCCTTGGTTATTCTACTTAGGTTCACTATTTGCTGCTACACTTTTATATTTAACTGATGATGGACCATTTAGCAAGTCGGTTTCTGCTTCATCTTAAGGCCTGGAATAGATTATGAGTTTTACAGATTAGGGAAAGTGGAGGCTCATTTGCATTTGGATGATGTTAAATCTATTATATAGAGAAAATCTAATCTAAAAACAAATCTACAGGAGGAAAAATCCGCTCAATCGAGGAAGGTTTTTAGAGCCCTTTCAAATCCTTAAGAAGGGAAGAAAAGTATGGTGATTATGATTTTTTAAATGACAGAATCACAATACATGATTTGATCTTGGTGGGGAGTACAGGGACAGCAGCAGACCTGGGCTGACAATGACTTTGAGGATGTTTGGTTCTCCTAAATAAAATGCTGCCAAACCTGAATCATTTCTCCACTTGGTAAGATTTGATTTTTTCTTTCTCATCTCTTGTCTCATACCAGTGGGTGGTTGGCCCTGCCTACTTTGTGGAATATTTAATCAAAGAGTCACCATGTACCAAATCCCAAGCCAGCAACTGTGCACTTCAGCCACCTGACTCTGAAGTAAGTATTCCTGAATGTCTTCATAATTTAGGATTTGTGTTCACAAGTCACCTATATGTACTTTCTGAGCATAAATTATTACATGAGGTATTGTAATGCACGAGATGCATTGTTCCCCTTAAGGAACAATGGACTAAGTAGAGATTGTGCACGTTCAGGTGCAAAAATAAAGATTTTATTTTATCATAATTGCAATTTTCATCAGCAATATGATGACTTGGCAAAAAAAAAGATCATAGACACTGTAAAACATGGGCAGATCTTCTCAGTGGTTTGTGATGGTCCTGCTTCTATCCGAACAAATCCCGTTACATTTGGAATACACCATGGTATTCTGTTCCTCGGACCGCTCTTATGAAGGACAAAGAAGTCAAACAGGCCTTCTTTCAAAGAATGTGTCCATGATGGGCAGAGAACCTTGAAACCATTGGAAACACAACTGGTGAGAAATATCAATTGACACAATGTATTGTGTAGCACAATCAGGCAAAATGAGTCAAAAGACTTTTTTCTCCTTACTTATACTAACAGCTTTATTAAGATAATTCACACATCATAAAATTCACCCTTTAAGATATACAATCCAGTGGGTTTTTTAGTATATTCACAGAGCTGTGCACCATCACTACTATCTAACTTTTGAATATCTTCATCAGCCCAAAAGAAACCCCTTACCCATTAGCAGTTGTCCCCCTTACTCCTCACCCAAGTCCCTGGAGCCCGCTAGTCTACTCATCGTCTCTATGACTTTGTCTTCTTCCAGACATTTCATGTAACAGAATCATGGTGTGTAGGTCCTTTTGTGTCTGCCTTTTTTCACTTAACATAATGTTTTCAAGGTTTATCTGTGTTGTAGCATGTATCGGTGCCTCATTCCTTTCTATGGCCAAATAATAGTTCATTTGCATGGATGCACCAAGTACTGCTTTCCATCTAATAGTCAGTGGCTGTTTGGGTTGCTTCCCTGTTGGAGCTATGATAAATGATAGTGCTAGGAGCATTTGTATAAAAGTTTTTATACCTAACTGTGTTTTCTTTTCTCCTGTGTGTATGGTCTGAAGTGGGATTGCTGAGTCACACTTCACGTTTAACCTTTTGATGAACTGCCGAACTGTTTTCCAAAGTGACTGCACCAGTTTTATGATCTTATCTGCGATGTATGTGGGTTTTAATTTCTCCACATTTTTGCTCACACTTCTTATCATAATTATCTGTCTTTTTTTTTTAATTATAGCTATCTTATTGAGTATGGAGTGGCATCTCATTTTGGTTGTTACTTGCATTTTCTTCCTGGCTAATGATGTTAAACATTTTTAATGTACTCATTGGCCCTTATCATATATATATTCTTTGGAGAAATGTCTATTCAAATCCTTTGCTCATTTTAAAATTGGATTACTCGTTTTCTATTGTTGAATTGTAGGAGCTCTTTGCATATTCTGGGTAACAATCCCTTAATCACATATATGATTATAAAGATTTTCTCTCATTTTCTGGGTTGTCTATTCATTTTCTTAATGATGTTCTTTGAAGTATAAAAGGTTTTTTTAATTTCCATGAAGTCCCTCTTATTTATTTGGGTCATGACCGAATGTGTGTTTGGAGTCATCTCTAAGAAATCATTGCCTAATCCAAAATCACTAAGACTTACTCCTATGTATTCTTTGAAGAGTTTTCTAGCTTTAACTCTTAGGTTTAAGTTTGTGACCTGTAATAAGTTAATTTTTTTTATATTGTGTGAGGTAGGAGGTTCAACTTCATTCTTCTGCTTCTGGATGTCCATTTGTCCTAGAATTATTTGTTGAAAAAAAAAATCATTTTTCCCACTTAAGTGTCTTGGAATACTTCATGAAGATCGCTTGGCTATAAATGTCAAGGTTTATTTCTGCACTCTCAATTTTATTCCATGGATCTATATAGCTATCCCTATGCCACTATTTCACTATCATGAATACTATAGCTTTGTAGTAAATTTTGAAATTGGGAAGTGTGAGTGCTCCTATTTTGTTCTCTTTATTCAAGATTATTTGGGTATTCTGGATCCGTTGCATTTTCATAACAATTTTCTATTTTTAAAAAAGAAGTTAGAAATGTGATAAGAATTGCACTGAATCTGTAGGTCAATGTGGGACATACTGTCATATTAACAACAATAAGTCTTTCAGTCCATTAATATGAATTGTCTTTCCTTTTGTTTGACTCAATTTCCTTCAACAATGTTTTATAATTTTCAATGTTCAATACTCACTTACCTGTATATCTAAATATTTTATTCTCTTTGATGCTAAAATAATGTATTTGTTTCCTTTATTTTATTTTTGAATTGTTTCCTATAAGTGTATAGGAATACAATTGATTTTTGCATACTGATCTTGTATCCTGGAACCTTGCTGGACTCATTTACTAGTTCTAATAGTTTTCTAGTAGATTTCTTAGGATTTTCTACATACAAGGTCATGTCATCTGCAATTAGAGATAGCTTTACTTCTTCCTTTCCAATCTGCATGCCTTTTAATTCTTTTTCTTGCCTAATTTCCCTGGCTAGACCTTTCAGTATAATATTGAACAGAGGTGGGAAGAGTAGACATCCTTATTGTATTCCTGGGGAAAACACTGAGTATTTCATCATTGAATATGATGTTAACTATAAGTTTTTCATGGATGCCCTCTTTTAAGTTGAAAAAGTTCTATTCTTATTTTCTGAAAAATTTTTAAATGAAAAAACAGTATTACAGTTTATCAAATGCTTTTTCTGAGTTAAGGAGGTAGCCATGATTTTCTTCTCCTTTAATCTGTCATTGTATTAACAATGATTGACTCTTGTATGTTAAAATAAGCTTGCACTTTGGGAATGACTCCCAATTGATCATGGTATATAATCCTTTTTACGTGTTGCTGAATTCAGTTTGCCAGTATTTTTTTATAAGATTTTCCATTTTCATATTCATAAGAGATATTAATCTATAGTTTTCTTGTATTTTCTCTGCCTGATTTCCGTATGAGTTTAATATTGGCCTCACAGAATGAGTTGGGAAAATTTCCCTCCTCTTCTATTTTATTTTGGAAGAGTTTAAGGATTGGTGTTCATTCTTCTTTAAATGTTTTGTAGAATTCAACAGTGGGCTTGAACTTGTCTTTATGAGAAGTTTGGGGTTTTTAGAAAAGATTATTATTTATATATATATATAATATTATCAAATTATTATTAATAATTTGATTTCTTCACTTGTTACAGTTCTATTTAGATTTTCTGTTTCTTAAGTTTTGGTAGTTCGTGTCTTCCTAGGAATTTGTTCATTTCATTGAAGTTACTTAATTTCTTAGCATACAAGAAGATGTTCATAGTATTCCCTTCTTATTTCTGAAAGGCTAAAATTTAATTCCAATTTTAATATATGAGACATTTTTTTCTTGGTCAGCCCAGCTAAAGTTTTGTCAATTTTGTTGATCTTTTCAAATAATCAACTTTCAGTTTCATTTTCTGTTTTTGTAATCACCTAGTTAATTTTTTCCTCTCTGCTCTTTATTATGGCCTTCTTTTTGTTTGCTTTGGGATGAGTTTGTTTTTGTTTTTGTTTTGTTTTGTTTTTCTGCTTTTTCTGTTTCTTAAGGTAGAAGGTTACATAAATGATTTGTTATTGTTTTTTTTTTCTTAGCAATAGCAGTTACATCTACAGATTTCCTTCTCAGCAATGCTTTAGCTGAATCTCATAAGTTGTGTGTATTTTGTTTTGGTTTCTATTCATCTCAAAGTATTTTCTAATTTTCTTTGTGATTATTTCATTGACCAATTGGTTATGTAGGAGTATGTCATCTAATATTTGCAAAATTCCCCAATATTTTGTTATCCATTTCCAATCTCATTCCATTGTAGTTGGAGAACATGTGCCATATGATCTCAATTCTTTTAAATTAATTGAAGTTTGTTTTAAAATTTAACATAAGGTATATCCTGGAAAATGTTCCATGTACACTTGAGAAGGGTGTATATTGTACTGTTGTTAGGTGGAGCATTCTGTAATGATTGGTTTATAGTGTTGTTTAAGTCTTCTCTTTCCTTGCTGATGTCCTGCATAGTTGTTCTATCCGTTACTGAAAGTGAGATTTCCAACTATTACTGTTGACTTGTCTTTATCTCCTTTGAATTCTGTCAGTTTGGCTTATGTTCTTTGGGGCTCTGTTGTTAGGTACATATATATTTATACTTATTGTGTCTTCTTAATAAGGTGGCCTTTTTATCATTATAAAGTGTTTTTCTTTGTCTCTACCAACAATTTTTATCTTTAAGTCAATTTTGTCTGACATTTGTATAGCCATTCCAGCTCTCTTTTTGTTATTGTTTGCATTTATATTTTTTCCATCTTTTTACTTTCAACCTACATGTGTCTTTGAATCTAAAATGTGTGTCTCAGGGCACCTGGGTGGTTCAGTGGGTTAAAGCCTCTGCCTTCAGCTCAGGTCATGATCTCAGGGTCCTGGGATTGAGCCCTGCATCGGGCTCTCTGCTAGGCAGGGAGCCTGCTTCCTCCTCTCTCTCTCTCTCTGCCTGCTTCTCTGTCTACTTGTGATCTCTCTCTCTGTCAAATAAATAAAATAAAATAAAAAAATCTTTAAAATGTGTGTCTCAAAAGACTTGTATAATTATTCAAGTGAATTTTCTCAAGGAATAATTGGGAAAACATTTTTACCCTATTCTGTAAGATCTCTTCTTCTCACTTGTCAATAACATCTTGGGCAGATCCCATAGCATTCTGGTCATTATCAATAATAAGTACAATTTCACTTAGGTAATTAAGGTTCACTTACAAGTCTGAAAAAAAATCTGTTCAGTCAATTCTGAATCAAAACTTCTATCTTATATCCAATGCAGAGCTTTTCTCTTTTTTCATAGCTTCATCCTGACTCAGAGCTTAGGACCTGCTGTGAGAAAGGGAGTCAAGGTCTATTCTTTCACTCTTTCTTCCCTCTCTGTAATCTTTTGCTTAATTATTGCTCTTCCAAGTTCCAAGAAGAATGAAAGAGGAGAAGAGAGAAGAGCCCAAAGTCTTTTTTATATAACTGCGGTTTTGGTTTTCTCTTGGTCTACACTGGCCCTCCATAAGCCAGGTTCCAGTGCTGGTTCTCTCAAGTGGTACAGGTGTGGTTTCATCCAGATGTTCTTTCCTGGCAGGATGATGTATTCTCTAGCTGACTTCTTGGAACCACCCCTTCTCAGATTCAGACCCCACAGATTTTTACTATCACTTTAGTGTGATAGTAAACAAGTGATTTACTCTCACCTATTATTATCCCTTCTCTGGAAGATTGTCCCTTGGGAAGGTACTTTAAAAAAAGCCCTACCTATGGCATTTGCTTGCCTCAAGGAATTCACACATTTTTACTATTCCGAACAGTGGAGATAGTGTTCCCTTTCCCACCCTTTTTCCTTACCCTACCATAGTAGGCTGCTTTAGCCAAGATCCTGCCTTCAGAATGCTCTGAGAGAGAAGCAGATACCAATCTTCATAGCCCATATGTCCCAAAACTCTAGGGTTCCCATGTTAAGCATGTCCACAAACTCCCTTTTTGTGGTTCTCTCTAGATTCAGCATGAATTAGAGTAGCTCAGCAAATTCTAGTCAGAGTGGGAGTCGCTAGGCTCTACTTGGTACAGGTAACTGCAGTCTCTCCAGAAGCTTCTCTTAGTGTTCCCTATATGATTTGGTGAAGAATTGGAGAAGGAAGAGGCTGAAGCACCATTCTCTAAGGACTTTCTACACTCATGGATTTTCCCATCATAAGGAACTTCAAATCTTCTCTTTACATAGTCTTCACATGGGTGATAGGATAATATTCAGGCAATCCATTTAGATACAGTTTAGTATATTCCATTTGAATATTCTTTCTTAAGAGTTCTTCTTTAGAAATTGAGGCAACATTTTATTATAATATTCTATTTGACCTTGAATATATGTGTACTCTATGTCTCTAAAATTCCTCTTCTAGGAATTTACCCTAAGAAGTAACTAAGAACTTCTTAAATAATCAGAAGAATATTAGTTAATGATTATAAAAAAGATCACAGAACACTATTTAATGCCATTAAAGGATTTTCACAATATATTATTAAGTGATGAGAAGAGTTATAAAATATGTAATGTAATCCTATTTATCTAGAATAAAAATATATATGCACAGGAAAAAAGGTTAGAAGAAAAGAAATAGTTACCTTTCATGCAATTATGGGTCTTTTTAACTTTTTGTTTATCCATATTCTAAATAACTATTTATTATATTTGTATAAAGAAAACAAAATTATTTTATTTCTAAATAAAGAGAAGTTGAAGGAGCTTAGAGGAATTTTGTCTGAGAAGAGAAAGCTCTGGGTGGAACGTACATAAAAGGCCACTACTATGTGCAAAATGAGAGCAGGTGTTCAAAATGACCCAAGGGTAGAAGTAAGACCAAGACATAGATGTTCTATAGACACAGATTTCTGCTCAATACCAAGACTTTTCTAATGGCTTGTTCCTCAAGAAATCCTGAGTTTAGGGACCCCTGGGTGGCTGAGTCGGTTAAGCATCCAACTCTTGATCTCAGCTCAGGTCTGGATCTCATGGTCATGAGTTCAAGCCTGGCATTGGGCTCAGCACTGGGCATGGAGCCTACTTTAAAAAGTACATCCTGAGTTCCACATAACTGGAGGAAATTTAGCTTAGTTTGGGTGATTAGCTAAAATGATGTAGAGAGAATTGCCTCAGGGCCTGCCCATAACATTGTAGGTGCATAAAATGTTGATTAGCTGTGGGTCTATACAAGCAGAAAACAAGTTGATTTCCATTTCTAATCACTAATAATCATAATACTCACAGAATGTTGTATTTTCTCTGTCTGTAGCCTGTTGGTCTTTGCACAGGTTCCGTGACTCAAACACCAATGGAAAAGTTTGTCTCCGTGTCTTGTAACTTCTTTGAACAACAGGTATTTTTCAATCTAATTATTTGCCTTCTCATTGAATGAGAGAGCAGATAATTGAAATCCTAACTGACCTCTCCTTTTGATTTCCTAAAATCCATGATCACCACTTTATTCAGGCTGCCCCAAGGTCACACCCACAGGGTGGCTGGTTAAAGACCAGTCATACTTTTTTTTTTTTCCAGTCACAATGTGGTCCTACAGAATAAATAAGACTTCTTCAGAAATAGAGATATCCTAGCTCAGATGGCTGAGGCCTCTGAAACATTAAATCCAGTGTCCCAAAGACCCTCACCCTTTCCCAAAGTATTTGTCGAGTGTTCACTACAGGGCAGCCAGCTATCATTGAGAGGGTGATTGAAACAGGCCACCTTGTCCCAGTACTGCTCTGCCACCAAGAGGTGTGTGTGACTCTGGACAACTTCTTACCTCTCTGAGTCTTGGTTTTCTTGTCTGTAGAATGGGGTTGCAATAACCACCGTGTGCAGATCCCTGTGGGAAGCAATGAGAGGAACTAGAGGAAGGGCCCTGTGTGGCGCATGGCATTGAATAAGCCATGAGTAAAGGGAGTTTGGCTGCACTACTGGGATGGTGTGACAGCACCCCAGTGTACTTGGAAGAAGCCATTCAACCCCTCCAAACCATTGTTCAGCTCGGAGTTTGTGAGACCTGCAGTCTCACATACTCTGTTGTCTGCTTTTGCTTCTTTTAACCCTTTAACCCTTTAAGCAGAGTTAAATCATCCCTCTAGCTGGTCTCCCTTTGAAACATGCCATCAGAAGTCCCAGAACAGGCTTAGCTTGGTACTAGCCATGGTAGAAGTTTTTCCCGGAAATGTTCCCTTATTTGAAAATGTTCTTATTTCAGAGCCCTGCCCCTGGAGGGGAAGCCGATGCTGCTAACCAGGGACCTGCACATCTCCCTGGGGTGGGAGAGTCCCAGCAGAAAGTTGTCGTAGATCCTACTCCCGGCTTGCTCCTCAAAGCTGTGCCTAAAGGATCTGTCCAACACCTCCCTGACTTGGATGATGAGAAGAAGCCCGAGGATGCTGAGGAAAACCAACATGCTGAGGCCTTCCCTGTGAAGCTGGATCTCACCACAAATCCTTGGGGAGAAACATTGGATGTGTCCTTCCTTTTCATGGGGCCTGCGGAGCAGAAGCTGCTTGTCCTGCCTTTCCCCAAGGATGAACGACGCTCTGCTGAGTGCCCAGGACCAGCCCAGCAGAATAACCCTCTTATCCTCCCACCATGAGAACCACAGAGAGAATTCCATGGAGGGTATAGTGCCCTGCAGGAGAAGAGAGGTGCTGGGGAAGGGAGAGAGAGAGGCAGTTCAAACATAGAGAGTGACTAATAAAGTACAAATCTGACTCTCTTGGTCTCATCATGTTCTCTGGAAGTATAAGATTACACTGTGTACTTGTACGTGAGGCTTCATCTCTTCTGAACCATCCAGGGTCTCATACCATGGACACTCTCTGCCTCCCCTGTCTTCAGCCTCTCCCTCTGTAATCTTACTGACTTTCAGCTAAGTCTCTGTTATAGGGTCTGCCATACTTAGAAATGCCCTCTTCTTTCTGGGCAGGAGCACACTGTGATTCTTTTGATCAAAAGGAGATGAAAATTGAAGGGTATCAAGAGACAGATTCATCAGGGTGTCATTCTCCCTTTATTCCATAATTACTGCAATGCCAAGTATCAGTCAGATACTGTCTGCACAACCTTCAACCTGAGGGTGGAATTTTGTGGCTTTTTTTCTGACCTGTCTGAGTAATCTCTGAGTCCCAGAACTTGATAAACTCACCTATTGATAGGAGTAGTTAGAAGAGACAGTTGCCTATGGCCTGTGGTTGAGCCTGGGGAGAACCCAACATTGCTTCAAGTTGGGGAGCTTTCTGGCTCCTAGAATAGTTTTGCTCAGAGTAGATAATCAGGACCTGATAACATTCATTATCACTTAAAAAATAACAGATATGGGGGCGCCTGGGTGGCTCAGTGGGTTAAGCCTCTACCTTCGGCTCAGGTCATGATCCCGGGGTCCTGGGATCGAGCCCCACATCGGGCTCTCTGCTCTGCAGGGAGCCTGCTTCCTCCTCTATCTCTCTGCCTGCCTCTCTGCCTACTTGTGATCTCTGTCTGTCAAATAAATAAATAAAATCTAAAAAAAAAATAATAACAGATATGTATATACTATATATTGTACACATGTATGTGTATATATATATATATTTACACAAATATATGCATATACATACACATATCTTTTGAAATTTGACAGGTGTTATGGGTTGTATTGTTTTCCCAAAATTCATATACTGAAGTTATAACCCCCCAGTACCTCAGAATGTGGTTGTATTTGTATATAGGTCTTTAAAAATGTAATTAACCTAGAATGAAATCATTAATGTGGGCCCTAATACAATATGGGCCCAGATGAGCCCAGGAACACAGATGAGCACAGAAGCAAGACCATACAGGGACACAGAGAGAAGGTGGCCAAGGAGAGAGGCCTCTAAAGAAAGTAACCTGCTGACAACTTGACCTTAGACTTCTAGCCTCCAAGATTGTGAGGAAATTAATTGCTGTCATTTCAACCACTCAGTTTCTAATACTTTCTTATGGCAGCCCTAGCAAGCTAGTACAACAGGGAATTTGCAGGTGTAACTACTGTATTCTGGCCTGGCACTGGTTCTTAGAAGAGGCACATAGGCCTTGACAGCATTCATTTAAGAGCAGCAGACAATATTCACACGCTGTTAGTCTTAGCTGCTTCCTATAGGAAGGAAAAATGATGGAGGAGAGGCATCATGCCGAGTGTTAGAACCTGTCTCACTCAAGAGTCTAACAAGAAACACAATGCATCACAAGCACTGTATTGACCTTGAAGGTTCAGCGAAGGAAGGGGAAGAGAATGCATGGCTCGAGAGAGCACACCTAAATCTCGGCGAAACTGGAGGAAAAGCTTATCTTCATCCCGGGAGTCCTTCCCTCCCCTGCCTTTCCCTCCACCCGCATTCAGCTCCCCTACAGGCCCTCTGTGTTGGGTTGGCCAAGACAGCAAGAATAGAAGGCTTAATGGAGGAGCTCAGCTCATCAAAACGTACAGGTTTTTGTGTTCATCTATAGCCATCTCCCTGTCCCACCCCGGTTCAAGTTCCCATAGTAGAACCTTGGCCAGATTCCATACCATTCCCGTCATTCTAAAATTCACTGAAGAGGTTCTCTTTCGGCATTCAAAAGCTAGTGTCACTGATACTAAAAGCTCAATATCAAGCACAATTGAAAACATGTGTCTTCCATGGTTAGCCCTTGCTAGGCCAACCTGTGACTCTGGGAAGTGAGGCCTGATTTTTACTTACCCTCCCCTTTCCTTCCCTCTTCCAATTCTTTTCCTCCCTTCAGGGTCTGTTTAGAGTCCGGTGGCTCTTGACTGTGAATATATATTGGAATCACCTGGAAGTTTTTGAAGTACCCACACCTGGGTCCACCCCCCAGAGATCATGATTTAATTGCTCTGGGGATAGGCCTAGACATAAGAGTTTTAAAAGCCCCTCAGGTTGTAAGGGCCTATTCGGCCAGAGCGCCCTACCCTGGTTGAACTGCCATTTTGTTGTTTATGCAGTAAAACTTAAATTGACCCTGCCCCCGCCCCAGGGGAACTTACTTAAAAGCAAGTCTGGGAAACCAGTCCCAGGTAACAAAGCCCAGATACAAGGGTGGGTCAGGTCAGGTGGAGATAACAGCTGGAATGCAGGGATGAGTCGGGTCAGGTGGAGACATCCAATCAGTAAAGCGAGCATACTGTCTCCCTAGCTACCAAGGAGTATGGGCCCCGCCCTTTGGGTGCTCTTTGGGTGCCAATTCTGACCAAGGTGATAGGCTGGTTCAAATATCTACTAGGGTAAATTGTAATTCAATTGGTCACCTAGCATGACTGTGCAGCTTTCTCTGTGTGTTACAATTTCATTGGCCACCTGTGCATGGCCAGGCCCAACCGCATGGCCTTTGCCCTTGAAAGCTAGTCTGTGGGGGTGCCTGGGTGGCTGAGTGGGTTAAGCCTCTGCCTTTGGCTCAGGTCATGATCTCAGGGTCCTGGGATTGAGCCCCGCATCACACTCTCTGCTCAGCAGGGGGCCTGCCTCTTTGCCTACTTGTGATCTCTGTCTGTCAAATAAATAAATAAAATCTTAAAAAAAAAAAAGCTAGTCTGTGAAGCAGAGAGGGGTCACCCTCTCTGTAAGAGGCATGGCCCCGAATGTTCAGTTTGATTTTTGATGCTTGGAGCAAAATAAAGCTTTGCTTGACCTTCTCTTTGTATCAGTCTCGCTCCTTTAATCACGGACCCATTATTGGGGGACCCAACATTGGTTACCCAACATTGGGGGCTCATCCGGGATTAAAGGACGAGAACTGAGCCAGCATCAGAATTTCTGAGAAAAGCCTCCAGAGGTAAGTTCTCCAGATTTTATTCTGTGGGATCCAGTTTGTCTGTCTGGTTGCAGAGCTCCAGGTATGGCCCACCAGGGAGAAGCTGGACACAGCCATGTTCCCCAGAGCTGGAATGGTAGGCTGGAGTGGATGCGGGGAGCCCCATCCCTCTTCTGGTAGATTGTCTAGGGGTCCGAGTCCCCCTAGGCGGTCAGGAGGCCGAGAAAACCCCCACCAGCGGGTGTTTGCAGGAGACCGAGAAAATCTCCCCCGGCCGCTGGGTCCGGTTGTCTTTGTCTTGTCTTCTTGTTGCCTGTTGTGTTGCTCGTTCCTAGGGGACCAAGAAAATCCCCACTGGCGAGCATCTCTAGGGGGTCAAGAAAACTCCCACCAGCGGCAGGCTCTGGGTGAGGGCTGCTGGGTCTGCGGTTGTTTTTGTCTTGTTCTTTTTGTTGCCTGTTGTGTTGTTTGTTGTGTTTAAAGGAATGGGGCAAGCAAAGAGTAAGGGGACTCTGACTTTTGTCTCTCCATTCCTCCTAATAGATGTGGGGCTTCTCCCTCACTCATTTCATGTGTTAAGGGCTATAAATGGAGCCAACTGGGGTTAGTCTAACTCAAGACAGAGACTTTAAGGAATATTCCCAAGCAACTGTCGAAACTACCTTTTTTTTGGAGACATTCCTTGCCCTCTGTGGCCTGATGGGGACTGCCTACCCTCCCCTCCCCCTTGCTGGCAGGAAAGCATGGCATCTGCTCCTCTTTTGGAGCTGATGAGCCCTAGAACTGGGAACCCTTTCTCTGCCTTCTGGTGGCACCTTGTTCTGTTCTTCACTGTCAGTAAACAAGAAGAGCGACCCCTGGACCTAACACCCCAACTCCGGATCTTCCCACCCGGGTCTCAGGTAAACATTCAAAGCGGAGTGGGCCCAGGTGGAACGTAAATCAGTATTTGAATTAAGTTAAGTTTGTTGGGTTAATTAGGATGAACATGTCTTTTGAGTTAACAGTAGTAAATGTGAAACTTGAGAGTTTTTACTTAAGGTCAAATAAGCTCATGTTATTTGTTAAAATCTGTTAACAAAGAGATGACCAAACTGATTGTTAATTGTCTGTCTCAAAGGTTTAATGGGTAATTGTTAAAGTAGCTTTCAAAGTTTTTGGTAACCTGAAACTTTAAACCAAATGGGATAAAATGCTAAAGCATTGAGTACTGGATGTAGGTTTGTGCTTTTGACTTCTTACTGCAAAGAAACTAATCTGTTGGTAAACATGTTTTACCTCATTGATAAATTTGCCATCTAAAGAATTCTGTTGTGATAGTTCACAATTGGTTTATATTTAGTCTTCAGGAGAGGTTAAGGTATTTCTAAGAGTACAAAATTCTGCTAAGTGTAACTAAGACTGATGGAAAAAAGGAAAGACACTGGTATAAAAAAGCTGGTTTTCTCTCTGTTTAAAAGGGCAAAGTTTTCTTAGGTTAATTGATCTGTTAAAAAATGTAAATGGTTTTCTCTTTGCCTGCCCAGAGTTGTAAATGAAATCTCTTTGACTCATAAGGCTTTTCCTTGATATGTTAAGTTACTAAGGGAGTACTCCTAAACCAATGATAAACCTTGGGTTACATTTGGGTAAATGTGGTAACTACTCTAGAGGTTTCTATACATTTCCTAAATTTTTAATGTTTTAATAAGGGTTATCACTTGATATTTAACCATATCTGTTCTGAGTTTTTTTCATTTGTAATTGTTTTAATTCTCTTGTAATATGAATTCGGCCCTAAAGGAAATTCATATGGGAGACTTTCAGGACAAATACAGGTCTATG